ACTCGAGTCCATAAATATTGATATCTACAAGTTTGATAACCAGTCAAAATTGGGGTAAAAGCTTACACTAATAAAGTGCATAGAAACATTCTTGGGTTTATTTTATTTAATTTCACGTCGATTAATAGATAATCATTATAATATTAAAAAAGTATTCACTTATACACATCATATATATAGCTCAGCATGTATACTGTCACGGATCGTACTTGTTCTTCTTGATTAGTTTATTGAACCACAGAATCTATCTAGTTTTACGTCAAGTGGTGTTGGCTATTGCAATATAAAGCCCGCGTACACGGCTAGGATAGGGCACAAATAAGGGGATAATATATGGCGTGGTAATAATAATTTATTACTTTTTCTTCGGGGTTACAGGTCTTCCAGAACCGATGTAAGCGTATTTACCCTTCTTTTCCGCCGGTTTAAGAATTTGGAATGAGCACAGGAGTGATTCATCAACACTCATCATGGCACCAGCATTATCGAATTCGCCACAGTAATTAGGTGCTGAGAATATCGTAACCAGGTGTCGTTTAGAAAAGAATTCATACCCATCTTCGACGACTTGATGAGCACGACAGATAAGATCCATATCATGCTTTTGCAAGAACCGCGATACAACATCAGGTCCAAAGGTGAAGGAAACCCCACGGTCATTTTCACTCCAACCTGTGATATCCTTATCCGGGTCTGACCACAGCAAGTCGCACAGTAAGCCCACATCAGGGATATCAGTAGGACGCATAACGCGGCGAATTTGATCCATGGTGGATAAATCGGGCGACAACCCACCGTGCATGCAAAAGATCTTTTCGTCAACGATGGCAGCAATAGGTAAACAGTTGAAACAATCTGTGAAGGTCTTCCATAACTTTATATTATATCTTCGCTTACATTCATCGTAAAATCCGTAAATACGGTTGATTGACGCACATTCATGATTACCACGCAAAATGAAAAAATTCTCAGGGTATTTAATCTTGTAGGCTAACAAAAGGCAAATAGTCTCCAGCGATTGCTTGCCTCGATCGACGTAGTCACCTAAGAAGAGGTAGTTGGCCTCGGGTGGAAATCCACCGTACTCAAACAACCTTAATAAATCATAGTATTGACCGTGGATATCACCACAGATCTTAATGGGGGCCTCCAGTTCTAACAGAATGGGCTGCTGGATGAAAATTTCCCGTGCCTTAGTACACAAGAATCGGATTTCATGTTCTAATAATAGCACTTGCTTGCCGGGGCGCGATCCACGCACTTCTAAGAGTCGGTCAATGATCGAGTCAAGGTCCGCTTCGAGTTCGCTCATATTTGGTTTAGTCGCGATAGGGATTATAGGCTCAAAAGAAATTGGGCCTTATGAAGTCGTTCCGCTTGTGTTATCCTAATAATAATGATCAAGCGTTCAAACCCGTATTGACAATAAACAGCAATAACAACAACAACAATAACAACAAAGGAACAACAACGGGTGTCAAAATAAAGAAGACGGTGTGAGTGACGGATGTTGTCGGCCGCCGCCCCAATGCAAAAAATGCGAAAAGTTGGGACTCTATTTGCTGCTGACTCAGCCGTTGTTGTGCCGACGGTGAAAACGACAACCGAGAAGAAATAAAAATAAAATAAAAATAATATTAGCAAAAACGAAATAATGATATAAATAATGAATAATAACAAGGATAATAATAACAGGATTAATAATAACAAGAATGAAGATGATGATAACAATTAATAATAATGACAATGGTAATATACGAGACACCCTCCGTACCGATTTACTCGTTCAGACTAACCTGCTTAGTCCAATAGGCCTTGTTATCATCAAGGACGTCTAGGGTAAATGACAGTTGAGGCAAAACCTTTATGACAGCCTCAAACAGAGGGCGGGCGAATGTGCCAATGAAGAACAATTGGCCCTTGGCTAATTCTAGTGGATCGATGGCCTTTTTTCCCGGTCCGTCAATTTCTCTTTCATTTTTGACACAGGCGTCCTTCTTTGCAGGTTCATCAGTCGGAGGATTACGAAAACCTAAATCGATTTCCAGGGCCATGATATCGGAAAACTCCCGCGCCAGCACAATCCCCCATTCGGCTGATATGTCCAGTGGACGTACCACATTGCTGATATCGGCACACTTGATAATGATTGAACACAACAACCCCGTTATGTCTTTATTGCTGGTTTTTAAAGCGTTTTGAGGTTTATCCTCGTCCTTACCCTTGCCAACAGCCTGCTCCGTTTGTGTAAAGTCAGCAATTTGTCGCATGTATTCGAAATGCATAGCCATATCTGTGGCCAAAACTGAGTCGATAATTAGTTCACGAAACTCCTTAACTTGAGTCTGGGGCCAGTAAGCCTGTAGAAGCTTGTTGAAAACTGCAGAGTGAAAAGACTCGAGCACGCTCTTGTCATTGTAAATTTTGGTAATGGGGGCCTTATACGCAACCAAAAACCCATTGGTTACCCCCGGATGACCCACATCATGTCCAATGGCGGCGATAAGTAAAACAAGAGCATCTGTTGGCTTTAAAAATGATGCGAAATTCATTTTATCTTCATTAGAACCAAGGCGAGCTCTTTTGAACTCCTCAGTAGAATAACTCAACTCATTGCTTAGAGGCGGTATAACTTTAATTTGAATCAGAAAGTAAAAAGTAGCTTGTAATACATCTACCGCGTGTCGGAAATTATGGTATGGATTGCCCGGATGATAAGTATCTCTAACAGCGGCTAAGAAGGAGATGAGATCAGCTTGCGCGATATGAAAGTCTTCCAAAGGTAAATGCGTTTTCGTCAACACATGATCGAATATTATAATGGTACTTAACAGTAATTCATCATAAGACAGCTCATGGGCGTGGAAATCCCACTGCCCTACAGCCTGAGTGGCTTTTTGGCGCTGCATAGCAGGAAACGAACCAAGACTTTTATATTTAGTATAATTCTTCTTAGACGTTTTTCCATTACCCCAGAATAAGCACTCGGTTAAACCATGCGTTGTAATACCAAATCCAAGCCAGTTTTTCATTCTTGACACTCGAGTTTGTAATCCATCTTTTAGAAATGACACTTTCATTGAGAGACGACTGAGGACAGCCGAACTAAGCCGTAGAGGCACAACATCCAAAGGAATATGCGTGCTAAGAATAGGCAATACTGGACTATCCGTAAGTACAACAACTAGCAAGGGCAAATTACAAAAATTGGCACTTAGTTGGGTGGTATAGTCTTGAATAAGATTGTCAAAATCTTGCTGTTTCTGCGAACCTTCCGAATGATATAATGTTAAAAATAGTAAAATAGGCGTTGTTAAATCATATCCGGATGATCCATAAGAATCCAAATGCTCTAGCAACGATAGGAATGAGTTGAATACAGTCACTAAAGAGAGAAGTCAGTATGGAGAAAGAAAAGAATAAAAAGAGAGAAATCCGAGAAACAAATTATAAAAACAAATTCGTTTAATATTACTTACCTTTATCAACCCGATCCAAAACAGTCTTCATGTTATGGCCAAAAATTTCCATCCCTACCTCATGGTGGGTTTTCACAGGGTCATTGTCACCCGCGACCTTGCGGTTGGCATGTTCTGACAACTGGAGCGTGGCCGAATCGTAGCAAACACCGTCCTCTTCAATAAATGTGTTCAAGTACAGCGTATGTGAAGTTGCCTGGTCCATTTGAGGATATCAGAGATTGTTTAAATTATATAAAACTCAAAGCCAACCTAACAAGCTGAACCGAAGAAGGATGTAGTGCAGAACAGAAACTCAATAGCTGCAGTAAGAATAGTGTAAACAATTTCCGGACTATAATATCTGTATATATAGGTCTCGGTAGATATATATATATATATATATATCTACACAATAATGGTATAATGATTGGCGTACCGTGCAAATTGAACACTTATCCCCACACTGGACCAGATTACGAATCGGTTGAAGGGTGCAATTAAGACGCTCATCGAAAATGTAAGCAGCCGGGTAATAAAGTTTGGTAAAAATCGAATCGCTTTTAGCCGGCCAAAATGAATTCAAACAGTGTTTAGTAACGAAACAGAAACCAGAAAAACCTAAAAAAATGTATATACTGGACTTGTGGGCCAGCACGTTTTTTTCTCTTTCTGGCTGGAGTTGTCTACCAAGCGTAATCTCGAAATATTTCTACTTTACTGTAAATTACTTGCCTGGAAAAACATCTAAGCATTCCAACTAGTATCTACTAGCCTTTGTACTTGTTTTCGAATCTTTCTTGGAATAGAGAAACAATAATATATCTAATATCCAAATCAAGATCAAGAGACACGAAACATGGTGAATTTTATATCGATACAAAAAAATACTCCGAAACGGGGAATTGAACCCCGGTCCCACGCGTGCTGAAGTAATATCTGACAGGCGCAAATTCTAGCCACTAAACTATTTCGGAAGGAGGTTGCGCCAGCCCGGAATCGAACCGGGGGCTCACCGATGGCAACGGTGAATTTTACCACTAAACCACTGGCGCTCATATTTAAAAGAAAGTTACAACTTTGGACGACACCGGAATCGAACCGGGGACCTCGCGCATGCTAAGCGCATGTGATAACCAACTACACCAGACGCCCTAATTCTTAAAATATTGAATATTTAAAAATTATTATGTCAGTAGTCCTTATATGGACTCTGTATCTTTAATCCGATTGTGGTGAAATATGAATACAAGAAATTTTCTTAAAAGTTATAAAATTTTAAGGCTCCTAAAAAAACATCACTCCAAATTCTCATAGTATGATGTTTATTTTTATACCCTATATCAACCCATTATTATTTGTCATATGTCATCAATCTTGATTTCAATTTTGGTCTAGGCCAGGTAGAGGTTAAAATCTTTTTTCTTCGAGAAGAATTTGGCAGATGCTAAGATATTTAGCCCGTTTATGGAGGGGCCAGTTTTTCAGATTATCATGTTTATATAAACATAATGACTAACCCAGTTTCTTTTATAGAAATATGGCATTCTGGCCGAGTGGTTAAGGCGAAGCACTCGAATCAATTGTTTCTTGTTATGCTTTGGGCTCTGCCCGCGCAGGTTCGAATCCTGCGGATGTCGTTTTTTGGATAATTTTTTCTATATTTTTTTGATTTGTGTGTGTAGCTGAGAAATGATATTCAAATAAAAATATTTACATATAGTACGACCCAAGTAACTTTGTAAAAGCTTAAATTCTCCATTATTTGTATTCTAGCACTTGGTTTACTCCACCTATGTATTAAACTTTTGAGGATGCAATAATTATAAATTTTCTTATGGGTGGTTTCTTCTTTTTCGTGTAGAGGCGTTATTAGCATTTTGATTTATTGTTATTTATTAACATTTCTTAAAAAAGAGATTTACATTATATTTGAAGGACCTAAACCTTACAAATTGGATCTTGACCAGAGGCAATATTACATTGATGCATGAGTCGCTTTTGACCTTCGGCAAAGTGACCTGTGACAGAATGAAGAACACCACGATTATAAAAAATAACCAGGTCACCCGCTTCCCAGCTAAAGGCTAGAATTTCTTTTGGAGAAATAGCAGGTCTTAAGACTCGTCGTAATTCTTTTCTAGCTTGTTCAAGTTCAAGCACTTCACCGTTTTCACGTTCAAGTTTCCATACACAACAACCATGAGCTTGTAAGTGGTGTTTCCCCGTAACGGGATTCGTCCAGACCAGGGGTAATCTCTTTATCTTTTCCGTTTCCCATTCCGGTAAATCATCAAATGACAGTTCTTTACCCTCACTATGCATGGAAATACCATCCCAGGTAGCCTTAGCTTCAGAGATGTAGATATAAGGGTGAGGGGCATAGACTACCGTAGTACCCAAGGCTTGCTTTTTATCTTCTTCGGATAGTAATTCAAAAGCTCTAGCACCTGACATGAAACAGGTGGCACCTTGTGCGATTTCAATTTCTTCATTGCTGTCTTCGTAGAGAATCTTCTGACGCTCATTTGCAGCGTTAGGAACGTGGATACCCAATAACGTGGTACACACAGGAGGAGAAAGACCATATAGAGCTGAATCAATATGCCAACGGTAAAACTTGGTATATCCGGCATCTTGCTTTGATTGAGAAAGAATCTCCTTGTGAAAGGTGTCGTGAATAGGATGAGTAAGGGAGACCTCATCTAAACCTTCATGGTCTTGGAAAGTACCTTGACCCAGAATTTGAACTTGAGGTACTCTAGGCACCGATTTACCATCTTTTTTCAAGACAGACTTTTCGTGACGGAATTCACGAGAATGGCCATAGTTACCTTCGGTAGTGGGGTCGAAACGCTTGGTTAGAAGGTGTTGTGATTCAGGTGACAATTCCTTTTGACCAGGAATCACAATAACTAGATTTTCATGAAGCGCCTTGAACAAAACTTTGAAGTCGGCATCACTCAACTTGGAAGGATCAGTAACACCCTCAGGCATTTGAATTGTGGCCCCAAAGGGAGCATCAGGTAGACTTGTCGCCTTTAAAGTAGCGACAGGAACGGTTTGAGCGATAGTAGCAGTAGGAGCCATGGTTAATACCGAGTAATTTTGAAACTATATGCAATTAATATATATAGAAATAAACAACAAAAATTAAAGAAGAAAAAAGGGGATATACCGACGCCCTTTTATGCTTATTTGGTTGCCAGGTACTCTTCTTATCTGGAGGCGATAACGCTCCGACGGGATTCCCCGTCGGCAGGTCATAACCTCAGATCAACAGATTATGAGTTCCAATGGATCATACCGACTATTCGGTTTGATACGGTTTGAATAGACCCATACACCATATACAAGATAGAGAATAGAGTAAGCTAATAGTTTTATAAAAAGTGGTTCGGTTAACGAGGCTAAAGAAAAAATGGATTACAGGTAGACTAGCGAGAAAAAAACCGAATTGAAACAAGACTGAAGGAAAATGATAAAACTAAACAACCAATACAAGAAAGAAGAAAAAAACGCAACAAATATAAACAAAAAGGTCATTCTAGCATTAAAATCCAAAGGGATTATTGGGAGTAGCGCTTTGTAGGTTGGCTCTTTTACCAGTTGGCATTGATTGCAATGGCTGCTGCTGGCTTTGGAAACCTCCAAAGCTCGTTGCAGGGGCGTTGCCGAATCCGAAGCCAGTAGGCTGGCTCTGCAAAGGCTGAAGGGGCTGAGCTGGCGCCTGATACTGTCCAAATGACGTAGATGGCATCGCTGGTTCAGCTTGAAGGGGTTGGTATGCAGCCAATGGATTATTGTATAATGCGCTTTGGGGCTGTTGGAACTGTTGGAATTGGGGCTGCTGTTGGAATTGAGGTTGTTGTTGGAATTGAGGTTGTTGTTGGAATCCAGTAACGCTACCGTTCATGTTCAAATTTTGGAATTGATTGTTCAGATTAGGCATACTTATGCTACCCATACTATTGGCGTTAGCCATTGTTTGTTGAGATAACATAGGCTGCTGAACAAAACCAGTCTGGTATGATACTTGAGTAGGAAGTTGTTGCAATTGATGTTGCTGAAATTGTTGTTGCTGTAACTGTTGTTGCTGTAACTGTTGTTGCTGTAATTGTTGTTGCTGTAATTGTTGTTGCTGTAATTGTTGTTGCTGTAANTGTTGTTGCTGTAATTGTTGTTGCTGTAATTGTTGTTGCTGTAATTGTTGTTGCTGTAACTGTTGTTGCTGTAATTGTTGTTGCTGTAATTGTTGCTGACCATTATTTAGTAAAGCAGTGGCAGACGATGAAAGACCATTAGAAGTGGGTGTGTAGGAAGCCATTGGAGCTGGCACCATATAACTAGTATGTTGAGTAACTATAGGAAGGAATCCCCCAGTAGTAGAAGAATTGATTGGAATAATACCGGTATGGAAGGGATTGATGACTCCACCAGTAGTGGCAGGGTTAATAGAGGTCAAGCCGCCTGTGGTTGAAGGATTGATAAAACCACCTGTAGTTAAAGGGTTAATGAAACCACTTGTAGCTTGGGAAATAACATAACCAGACGGTTGGCTATCAATACCCAAAATAGTACCATCTGGGCCTGTCTTAACAGAAATAATCGGGCGAATAACAGCACCTCCAGTCTTTACGCTTACAAGAGGTTGTTGATCATTAACAGTTTGGGGACCAGTCTTGAAAGGGTCCAGTGTCTTAACTGTTGAGGTCTGGGAAGTATTGGTAGATGAGGCTGATGATGTGGACTGAGGGGCTAACGGCATAGAAGATAAAGGTGCTGCTGAAGATGCCACATTATTTTGTGCCTCAGGCTGAGAACGAGGGGGTTGCGCAGGTACTGATGATTTATTTTCCTGAGGTTGAGATTGAGACTTGCTGTCCAAATCAATACTAACAGTGGAGGAAGATGGGCGAATAGCCCAAGCATCATCATCGAACGCGTTGAATTTTGCAGCAGCATTGGACGCCAAAGATGTTGTCGATAAGTTAGCTGTTGGCTGAAGTCGGTTTTGTATATCTTTGGAAGTATTGTTCTTCAAATTGCCTACCTCATCACTGAATAAACCCCCAGTCTTTTGAGCCGGTAATTCTCCTGGGCCAGCAGCAGTATTACGCGAAAACTTTTCGTCGAGTTTCTTGGAAACTCTAAGAATATCACCTTCTTTAAGACCTAACGTACGTAGCACCGAAGGAGTAATGTCTTCCAAAATGCTTTCATCCATCTGATCTTTGATAAAAAGGTTGTTATAACGCTGACAATTATTAATATCAATTCCACAATCAAGAAAGAATCCAAACCAATCATAATTGGGCTCGATAGCAGGGACATATTTAGAAATAGGCGCTGGAGATGGTGCAGATTCCATTGGTGGTGAGGTCGATGATGAATCTTTAACAGATTGACGGCGACTTTCATGTTCTTTGCGTTCTCCACGTTCTCTACGTTTTTCACGCTCTTCATGTTCTTCACGTTTCTCATGTTCTTCACGTTCTTTGCGGGCTTTCCGCTCTTCGTATTCCCGACGGCTTAGAATTTCTTCACGTTCTTGGCGGTCTTGACGCTCACTAACCGATTTACGACGAGAAATCTTACCAGTGTTATTAGCACTAATTCCACCAGGAACTTTGATACGGTCGCGTTTTTCAACAACATTCTCATCATAATAATAATTTTCTTCCTGACGACGGTTCGACTTATTTTTCTCATGTTTGGTAATGCTAACCTTATTGGGCTTAATCAAACTTAAACCGGTAACAGTCTCAACAAATTCCAAATCGGCTAAACAAAGCTTATCAGCAGCTACCGCAATTTTAACACCATTGACCTTGTGCAAATGAACTTTACCATTCGAGACACCCAGTAACTGCGCTTCAACGCGGAATGTACCAGAAATATCAGTCCACATTCGTAACTTGGACTTCGAGGGTTTACTGGACTTTTTGCTCGAACTATCCCGATCGGGACCGTGACTACGACTGCGGCTACCACCACCATTACTGTCACCAGCACGACTATTACGACGACTGCGACTCTTTTCAGGGGAGGCCTTAGCAATAGCTTGCTTGGCACTCATAGATAAGTTTTGATTTTCTAATCGTTTACGCTCTTCTAATTCCTCAAGCTTTGCAAGAGCTGACGAAGTATTCTGTCTTTGTAGTTTGGACATAATCTTGTTCTTAAGTCGTTGACGTCCAGTTGGGGTAGACGTTAAAGGAGCCATTTCTCCAGCACTATTATTGTCACTGATAACATCAATAAAGCTGGAGGGCACCACACCAATATCACCGTGAGCATTTTTGATTTTCCACCAGTCCTCAGAGGCCAGGTCATCTAAAATAGTTACCGAATCACCTTCTCGGACATCAACCTCATCATCACCTTGAGCTTCAAAGTCATAAACAGCCTTACCACGTTTTCCTAAATTTTTACCATTTGAATTACTATCAGTTGGAGCAACTGAGTAAATCCCCTGGAGCCCTATAGCCTTATTAATCCCTACCAAGTCACCTAAAATTTCGATAATTTTGATAGAAATATCTTGCGAGCCGGTATGTAAATCGTAAGATCCTGACGGATTACGGAAATCTAAAAACAAATGCTTTTTTTCAAAATTATAATTGACCAAATCGGAAAT